AGGTGTCCCTGCTTGAGAAGGGGGGTTGGACTAGATGATCTCTAGAGGTCCCTTCCAACCTCAACCGTTCTATGATTCTGTGAAAATTACTCTTTTCTTATTTCTCAGTAATCATATCTGGCAGAGCAGGATTGATTAAAATGGACAACCTTTGTTCTCAACAGAGAGTCCGGAAAAGAAAGACTTTCAGCATTATGTTGTCACCTGCAGCCTCCCAAAGAACTTCCTCTTCTCCTCCTGCCAAGACCCTGGAGTCCATAGCCGCTTTTCCAGGATACTTTATACACAGCAAGATATACACAGGGATTTATGTGGGTGTATATAAATTCAGAATACAGATTCTTAAGTTGCTGCTAGTAGACAAGCACAATTCAAGAGGACTGTGCTTTCATTTCCCAAAATTTTAAAGGTGAGCTGGCAACCATTCTATCCTTCTATTCCATTCCCTTTTCAATACCTCCTAGGATTTAATGTTGTTGCTCCTCTTTTTCTTAACTCACTGATTAGTGGAGATCAAAAATTGCCTGTTTGCTGCTACATAGTAACATCAACAAAGTACTCATCAGAGGAGAAACTGAAGGGAAGCTGAGAAACACTTAGACTATTGGGTTGGTTTAAAAAAAAAAAAAAGACAGCAATAAATTCGAGCTGCAAAATGGTGTTGTGAAAGACAAATGCACCTACCATCTCAAAAAAAAAGTCAATCAACTAGTTATTTTTTTTCAAACATACTTGAATAGCAAAAGGCCTTATTTTAAAATGCCTTCTGTTTCCAACCTTTCATTCTCTATAAAGCCATCTGAACTAGGTTCAGTCCTCCCTGCAAATGCAAATGACCTGCTTGTCCTTCTCAAATACAAACTCTGTCAGTAATCACTGCAAACGGAGGAGCAGGCTCAGTTACTGAGGTGACAGGAGGTAGTCACACGGTGTTGCAGTAACCCTTGGGAATGGCTGTAACTGTCTTTCGTACATTATTAAATATATTACCAATGGAAAGATCATGTTATTTTTTTCCACACAATTAGAAATTGGCATTTAAAATGTGAACAGACTTCCAAGAGCTTTGCTGCTTTCTTCGGCATGTCTATCTTTCCCAGAGGTTTCTAGGATTATTTTAGGAGCTGTTCTTCACTTGACTCATTCCTAATTTCATGTCTCCTTCAGATGAGAAAGAGACAGCATCCTTGGAAAATCACATTTGCTCGCCTTTCCAAAATCACCAGTCAGAACATTGAGGCAATAACCTTTAAGCAGTGGTTCATCTTACGCAAAAGGCAACTGGATTGTAAAAAGTGTAAAAAGTCTTTTTTTCAGAGGCCAAAAGAGATATTTAGGGCATGCTACTGAATTTGCAAATTGCAAAATCCATGAGCAATAGATTTTATATTAGCTTTTATGTTCCCAACTAAAACACTTCTTTGTTATTCATTTGTTATTTACATTTTGCAGCACAATACTAATACATTCAAACACAGAAATAAATCCAATTAGCAAAAATGAAGCTGATCAAAGTACTTCTGTTGTAAGCAAAAGGAAGTAAATAGCACAGTCCCTGAAAAGTAAACCAACAAGGTCTTCTGAGTGAATGAAATTTAGCATTATGCTATCAATAACAGATAGATAATGAATACATAAGCAGCACATAGGCAAAGCTGACCTTCCCATCCGTGCAGATCAACACAGATCAGTCTCACATTTCAAGCTGAGACGAATGATTTGTCTAAGAATATGCTACAGGAAAGTAAGAAACAGCGCTTTTCACTCGCTGCTTAATCTTAAAAACTGAACCATTGATTACTATCATGACACACTTGTCCAATTGAAACTAGAGAGCATATACGAGTCCTCCTCCCTTAACTGGACTGGGGGTAGTTTCTGCCCCATCAGCTGGCTCAGGAACAGCTATGAAGGAGCATCCTTTACACACCGCCTGCCAAGAGTCAGACAGTGCCACGGGATGTAGTGGAAGCGGTGCCAAGGAGAGGGCCATTCCGCTGCAGGCTCAGCCTGGGGGAGCTCTTTCAGGACTGCTCTCAGCTGGCATTGCTGGTGAATGCGCTACAGGCCCCCAGCACATCATCCCATCCCAATTCACAGCAAGCCACGCGCTCCCTGGGGTGCTCACGCACCTCTCCTTGAAGTTACTCACTCCAATCACCATCATCGGACATGCTGCTCACTCTAGCCAAAACCTCTGGGACTGGACGGACATCTCTTTGTGTCTCTGAGTGCAAGGCAAACCTGCAGCTTTGTTCCCCGTTAATGCCCCAACCCCAGCCATGAGCTCATTCCAGCTGGGTCACTGTAAGCAGCTTATCCCCTATGATTAGCAACACCGCCTGTCACTGGGGCTGCAGATGGCCAGAGGAAAGCCGCTCTCACCCATGGCTAATTAAAACCGCATCCTCAAGACAGCCCAGATGACGTGGAACCCAGCCGGCTGGGGCGTTTTACCCACACTGTCCCACCAGCGTACCTGCAAAGGGCACCCCTTTTCCTCCTCCGGGGCGGCGCCTCAGCCAAGGGGGTACATTTTCCTTCCTCTCACCCGCTGCCCGGCCCAAACTCGCCATGATGTCCCGCAGCAGAGCGCCAGGCAGAAGAGCCAGGCACCCAAAGCCACCCCCTAAACAGCGGGGACAACCACCAGCCCCAGACTGGTGGCAAGGCACGATGCCCTTCAGCGGCTCTCCAGGACCGCCGTGAGCTCGCGGATCTCCGAGGAGCACCCCCCTCAGCGCGACCGTTAGAAACCGTTAGCGCGACCGTTAGAAACCGTTAGTGGCGCGCACAAGCCCCGCCCACAAGCCGCACGCGCCCCCTCAGGGACAGGGGAGCGGCAGCAACCGAGCTAGGTGCAGACTTTTCATTTATTGTATAATTCTATTGTTATTAATTTAAAAAAACACTCTATTATTAATTTCTCATTTTAGACAGGCATCAGCTCAGTCAATTGGCAGATTAAAATCGCGGCACAGGATCACACCTGCCGCACACCCAGCCGAGGAGCCCCTGCTGCGAGGCTGAAAGGGGAGCCCGGTGGGGAGGCGGCAGCGGTGGTGGCTCCCTCCCAGTAGGGGTGGCCGTCCTCGGGCATGGCAGCAGGCTTAATGAACCCCCACGTGCCATGTTAAATCAGGTAGGGATCTATGAGCACACCAGCGCTCGCCTTAAACCCTATCTGAACAGCGCCGCTCCTCCAGAAATAAGAATCAGTCATTAAAAGCCAGGAGAGAGGCCAGGTTTTTATCATCACTTCTCTGATTTACTGCCCCAAACTGGTATCCTTAATTCATCGACTCCTTTGCCCTGCTAGGGTCCTCCCACCTGTGCGCAGCAGGTCAGCTAAAAAGGCATCAATGATCTTGAAGATCTTTTTCGACCATAATGATTCTGTAATTGCCCCTTCATGTCCATGCAACTCTCCCCAAAGCATTACATTTACAACAGTCATTTTCAACGTGTGGTTCAAGGGTCCCAAAGGTCTGTTTAAATGCATTAGTCAGGGATCAGTACCCTCACTGTACATTTCTGTAGAGCAGAAAAGACCTAAAGAAACATTAACTAAACATAAAAGTCTGCACTATACTTGAACCAGCAACTCTACAAAAACAAAAACTTCTGCCTACCTAATCTTCATTCTTCCCCATTTGATCACAAGAGCAGTCCTCTTCTCTACTGCATGGCAGTCTGTGCCAGCAGTCAACTGCAAAATGAATGCACAACACTCAGAAATAAATCAGACTATTGCAATTCTG